ATTGCAGGGTTATCAGAACCGGCCCGGAAATGACCCCTACTCGAACACGTACAATCCAGGGTGCCAAAACCACCCTCACTTATCATGGTCCAACAACCACTACCAGCAACCACCTCAAGCCAACTTTGTCCCACAGCAGCAACAACCGAGGGGAATGCTAAGGCTGCCAGCACCAGAAACCGGACCAACCCAATCGAGCACGGATGACAAGCTGGACAAAATCCTCAACTTCGTCACAAATCATGATGCTTCCATTAAGCGTCTTGAGACTCAAGTGGGCCAGCTAGCCATACGGGTTGGTAACATCGAGACTGAATTGGATAAGGGGAAGCTGCCGAGCCAACCAGAGCACGCAAAGTCAATCACCGTGATTATGCCCGAGGAAGTGAAAGAATCAAATGAGAGCCCGAAAGAGATTTTTCAAACAGAAGAAACCCCAGTGAAACCACCACTCGAGCCTACCTTACACAAATCCCCAAACCCATACAGACCTAGAATTCCATTTCCGAGCCGCCTTTTGGATGAGAAAGACCGTAGAATGATCCGGGACCTTCATGCAATGTTGGTTAAGACCAACGATGACCTATCACCTCCCGATGTGTTGAAGAAGGTTCCGGCCTATGCCCGATTCTTCAAGGAGGTGGCCTCGAGCAAGAAGAGGTTCGAAAATGGAGAGGAAGTGATTGTAGGTGAAGCGGCAAGTATCTTTCAGCATAACTTGCCGATGAAAGAAAAAGACCCCGGAGGCTTTGTGATCACTATGGCTTTCGGGAATGGTGAAGAGACTTCGGGCATGCTTGATCTAGGAGCGGGCATTAATCTTATGCCACTTTCAGTCTATCGTCGGCTCGGGCTTGGAGACTTGAAGCCCACCACAATGCGCCTTCAGCTGGCTGATCGCTCTTTTCGCCAACCAGAGGGGCTTGTAGAAGATGTGCTCGTCCGAGTGGGAAAGTTGATAGTTCCCGTGGATTTCGTTGTGCTCGATATGGGGAACATACAAGAAAATGTGAAGCAGCACACAACTCTTCTAGGCCGACCCTTCATGGCCACTACTGGCACCGTAATTGATGTGAAGAAGGGGACGGTGAGCATGACCGTGTTAGGGGAGTCTGCCCTCATTACCGTTCGAGAGGCCCAGCCTGAGCCGCAGACAAATGTGACGGAAGAGTGTGCATATATTCGGGCGATAGAGCAGTTGATCGAGGATGCGTGCATGAGAGAGCACGCTAAGAGAGCATGGCAGGACCAACTTACAGATGAGAAGGAGTCCCATACTGACCGCCAGCTGGATTC